TTTCTAATTATTTTCAAACATTGCACTGCGAAGGAAAGAATTAGTGTCATCGCAGTGCAATGTTTCTCCTCTTCGCTTCATAAATGTAATTGAATACCATTAAATCGTGGGATATAATATTGTACAAGTTTGAATTTTTAATAGTTAGAAGAGTTTCTTTTATTTCTCTTCTTTTCTTGTTATGGTCTCTTGCTGGAAATTGAAGGTGCATCAAAATTTATTCTGTGAATTTTATTATTGAGAACATAATCAGCTGCAGTACTTTTTCCTTGTCCTTTCAGTCCATCTTTTGTTTTTTCATTCTATGTTTGACTTCGAAATTTGTTAGTCCAATGTATATTTTTTGACAGTTTGTACAGGTTAATTTGTATACTGCGACAATATTCATAGGATCATTTCCTTTGTAGTTTTCGGTGAAAAGTTTGGAGAGTGTTAATCCTTTTCGGTATCCAAATATAACTGTTGTCGTTGGATAAAAGCGTTCTATCATTTTTTAAATTTTGTTAGCCATCAAATTAGTTTCATATCCATGATAAGTGATGGGTATAAAGAAGGTCTTCTTTTGTGTTTTTCGGATTTTGTTTTCTTAAATTGGTCGATTGTGTTATTCATTTTTCTTTTAATTCAATTCAAGGGATATCCGTTGCTGGTTGAAAGTGATTCAATTGTTTTATATTCTTGATGTAATAATGTTTTGAAGGAGCATATTGAAAGTGCCGATAAGTTAAAGTTCGTATTAAATCTACTTTGTACTTTTTTGCTTGACAACTGTGCCAATGTAAAAATTGTCCAGTGTGTGTTTTCTTTCTAAATATAGTGGTTAAAAATATTGTTCTTTCACGGATAATCTTTACGTCTAAAAATGAAATTTCAAAATTAGTTTCTTTTTCACAAGTGAATTTGACGTTAGCGTGTAAATAGTTAACATAATGTAGTAGATGATCTACATCTTTTTCTTTTCCATCAATGATAATGAACGTGACGTCGACATAAAGGTAATACGTTTTAATTTTATCATTAAATTCATAATTTTGTAAATTTGATTCAATATGAGTCATGAATGAATTGGCGGGAACTAGGGCTAATGGTGATCCCATGCTCACACCTTCTATTTGCTGTTACAATTGTTCATAGAACCTAAATGGCATATTTGTTACACATAATTCAAATAATTGTCTTATATCATTTTCTTCAAGTTTGGTAAATTACTGATCATTATTTTTCTTTTCTAAGATTGTTTTTATCGCTAAATCAATTCTTTCACGAACAGAAATTGAAGTAAACAACGATTCGACATCGAGACTAATAATATAATCATTTTTTTAATGCTTTTTTCTGTTGTATAGTTTTGGCAAAAGTGAATTAGTCTTTTATGTAAGAGGGTGATTTGTTTTTTGCTTGTTCTAATAGTTTTGTAAGATATGTTGATAGGTTGTAGTTGTAACTATTAGAAGTATATATGATAGGACGTAAGGGCATACCTGTTTTGTGTACTTTTGGTTGACAGAATAATATTGGACATCCAGTTACAACAGCTTCGATGGATTTACGTTCAACTTTAGTGAGTTTCTTTGTTCTCTTTAATTCAGCCATACGATAATTAAGTTTTGCTTCCATCTTATTTACTACATATTCAATAGAGTTTCTAGCCGAGAATGGCATAGTGGTTCTATGCATCTGATTGTTAGTCATACATCAGAAGGTTCGATTCCTTCCCCCGGCACGGTGTCTTCGGTGTCAAGATATACGGTATCGGAAGAATAAACGAAGGAAAAACAGCAATGCACGCCGATCTCGTCATTACTGCCTCCATTTCGATTTTCGTTCTGTTCGTTTTCGCTTCCTTGTCATTCTTTCTCTTTTTGTTATCGTTATCTTGTCTGTTGACTCCTATGTTCGTAAGCGTCCGCAAAAATTGCATAAAAAAGCACAAAAAAATATATGGATGTCACGAATAAAATTCAGCATAATTAAAAAAATAGAGTTTCTTTTATCTTTTTCATCTGTATAATTCATTTTCTGAAATATTTTTCCTGTCGATAGTAGTTGATTAACTTTTTAAACATATTGTTCTTTGTCCCCTAACACGCAGAATCTTCCATTATCAGCTTTCATTAATGCGATTGATTTATCATTTAATAACGATTTTAATCCTATTAATTCATCGGAACTTATATTAATTGTTTTCGTGTTCTTGTTCACTTTTAATGTTCCATAACCTGAGCTTTTTATACAGTCAGTTAGATGTTTATCCAAAGACTTAGAACCAGGTTCATCTATTTCTTTCAATATTCTGTAAGTCATCATTTCAATTTCTGTTTTGAATTGTAGGCTGTTTTCTATTTTGTATCAATGCAAAATTCTAGACCTTTCGAAAGAATAGTTTCTTCTTTTGTCGAAAGTGCACGAGAAGATACATTATGTTCTACCTTGTTATTATCTTTTTTTTGTAAGATGACATTGCTATTTTATAAGTTAAAAATCTTGTTTGCGTGGGTTGTTTTGATTTTGTTTAATTGTTTCTCTTTGATTGCGTTGAAGTAGTCTTTTAACCCTTTGGTTACGGATCACACATATATGCGTGTTGAACTTTTCATTGGAATACTTCTGTTACAGTTATGATTTTACTGCTTTAACTGAGTGCAGAATAGCATGGCTTCTTATACTCAATCTCGTACGACAATTCCTCTACATATCTTTGTTTTGATCTGCCCTATAGAAGTCATACTTCGCGGCATAATCAAAACCTGTCAGTCCTCAAGAGAGAGTGGTACAATGCAGAGTGCTACTAAGGAAAAATACTTTATGCATAAACCATAAGACATTTGCTCATAAGGCATAACACGGCACTCCTGAGACATCACCTAAAATGCTATTGCAGCAAGTACGCTAATTCTGATATCCTAACTCTACCCTGATTGTATTCATGGCCATGACCGGCTAATACTGAAAGGAGAGCTATCTTGTAGAATTCTACCACTTATTCAACTTCTAAAAGTGCTCTGGGACTACCAGAATCACAGCATCATTATATAGTCTTACCATACATGGACATATCCTATTTTAAGCATTTTTCATAAAAATCAAAAATTTCCTGTTCCTTGAAAAATCCCGTAACCAAAGGGTTAATGATTTGCGTTCGAACGGATTAAGTTTATTATCGATGTTTGATAAAATTGTCTCTGTACTTTTATTGGAGTTGGTGTGTTTGTTTGCATTTATTATGGTATGTTATCCTTTACCCTAAATCTGGTACCCAGAATGCATCCCTAAATCGAATCCACATTTGTGGATAATAAAACGAAAATTAATCCAGATTAGGGATTTTGATTTAGGAATTTTCTAATTTAGGGATTTTTTTTCTCAATTGATGACGGACTTCACTCTTTGATAACGAACTGGTGACCAGTTATTTTTTACAATATCTGGAACTGGTCACCAGTTCTTTAGCAAAAATTAAAATCATTAAATATCTACTATTATTAATCTTGACTTATTAAATATGTTTTTCGACAGAATAACTGACTAATGAAGGTAGTGTTAATACAATTATGACTCCTACAACAGATACTTATTGCAAGTTAAGTGACAATCACCAACTGCTCTAATATATGTATCATAAACTGTACGCGTATTAACCTACTATCAAGCTTAGAAATTCTTTCTACATTCAACATTCGTGAAAACACTTAAATGCTATTTTCTGCATAACCTTTTTTTACATATCAAACCAATCAAATTCGAATTTTTTCACAGCCTTTAATAACATCCTAGTATTATCATCAGCTCAATATGTGTTACAAACAAAAAGCGCAATGAAGGACATACTCCATCCTTAGAAAACGCAAGCATCTGCGAAATGAGTATAGTAGTTCACAGAAAATCATCCGTAATTAAAATTCAGGTCAATTAGGCGTCATCTCGTAGAATCCTTTCGAATTCCTTAAAAAACACACTTTTTACTTTTGAAAGACAGGTTTTGCCCTGTTCACAAGAAAACTCAATGGTCGGTTCTACAGGATGTTCTTCATCTGAAACATCGAGTTCTAAGACCCTCGCATCCATTGCATTCTCGTTTGCCGTTCGCATTACCGTAAGCACGCTGTATATTCGTCCTGTGGTTATAATTCTATTGTACTATGTATAAGGTTCATATTCATTTCACCTTTCAGTTTCTTAGTATGTCATGTGAGTTGAAAACCTTGAACACATTCCAATATTGAAAAAGAAATTCAATGGAATACAGAAAAATTCTTCGCTTTTGTCAAAAATGAATACATGTCATCGAGCGGATGGGTATTGTGACCATAGAGATGAGCAGATCAGCTCCGCTCCTCCGAGCTTGTGACGCAGAATCGGACATGAGTGTTGAAGTATTAAACGAGAACAGTGTAACCACCATGTGGCCCTCTCTACCATAGATACGCAACAGAATGACAGACATGGGATTTTCGATTGTTTTATCACAAAATAATTAATAAAGTAGATAAATCTCCCAGCAAGAATCGTTTAAAAACAAAAATGAATTCCATTATGTTATGCCACATACCTTAGATGTGCCATAAGAAATATGTTATATGTGTCATTCATATGTATTCGTTCTTTTCTTTCGTCTTACGCATATATGGACAATTACATCTATCTTTTTTTCGTTCTGTTAAACATTTCGTTGAGTGCGTTCTTTTGTTTTCTTTCTATAACTTTCGTTCTTTTGTTTTCTGAAAGAACTCTTGTTTGTTTCCTTCAATCTCTATTATCTTTTTCTTCTTTCTTGTAAGAGTCAAAACAACGTTGTTTTGACCTTCAGCTAGAAGTTATTGTGTAGGTAATAATGCGTGACAATATTATATATATATGTTGTGGTCGAAATTAAAATTCAGCCCAATTTAAAATTTGCCTAGGCAAAATTAAAATTTTAATTTCGTCCAGACGAAATTGAAATAGTGTTCCGATGAACAGGAGCATATATATAGAAGCATCCACGCATAATATTGTTAAAAATGATGGAATCAAATTCAACAATTGTTCAAATGAATAATGATGAGAAAATTTATTACGAGAAAGTGGATGAATATATTAATTCATTAGATAAAAAGTTTCGTGAAAAATGTGTTATCAAACAACAAGGTTACGATGATATCCTGAAATGCTTACTATTACCAAAAGGTTCACCACCTGATGCATATTCATCAACATTTGTTTATTGGTAAAACATAAATTTATCTAAATTAAAATAGCTGGTATTGATATTGTTGCTTGTATTAAATCAAAAAAACCAATTTGTGTTTATGAAGCATTTTATAATGTTATAAATGAGGCGCACGCTGCTGTCTCACATGGTGGTCGTGAAAAGACTTATTTTGAATCAAATTCGCAATATTCGTGGATTCCTCGATTTTGTGTTGAAATATTCTTAAAACAATGTCTACCATGTCAAACAAGAAAACCACTTAAACAATATGTCGTCTCAAAACCTATTATTTCATTAGGAGTAATGACACGCCTCCAAATTGACCTAATCGACATGCGTACAAGATCTTATAAAACATCACCTGATATTACTTATTCTTGGATTTTAAATTGCATCGATCACTTTAGCTAATTTTCATGGGCCTTTCCATTACGAAATAAATCTGCTAATGAAGTTGCAACAAAATTACGTGATTTATTTTTTACTTTTGGACCACCACGAATACTTCATAGTGATAATGGCCGTGAATTTATTTCGAATGTTATTACAGAATTAAAAAATCTATTTCCAGATTTAGTTTTTATTCGAGGAAGACCAAGACATCCACAAAGTGAAGGATGCATCGAAAGAGCAAATGGAATTTTATGTGAGGCTCTCGGCGAATGGATGTGCACTAATGATTCTACAAGTTGGTCTTTTGCTCTAGCATCAGTTATTTATGGTCTTAATACAAGAATGTCTTCTGTAACTAAAGCAACACCATATGAAGTGATGTTTGGACAACAACCTCGCTCTGATTCTGATTTTTGGAAGTTAATTCAACAGAACGGTGTCGAAGATGAAGAAAACTTACCAACTCCAGTTGCTGAATTAAATAATGAATTAAATGATGAATTAAATGATGAATTAAATGATGATTTAAATGATGATCAAGGTGATAGTTTAATTCATTTCGACAAAGGTATTGATGCTGACGTAGTTGATCTTGACAAATTATCTAATGATGCTGTTTCTTGTTCATTATCTAACACACCATCAACACCTAGATCGTCATCAATTACCGAAAAAACACCAAAAAAACATGATTTGGTTCGTAAAATCGCGACAGATAATTATTTAACAACTGCTAATAAAAAAATGAAATTATATCGAGATAGTTTAAATCTTATTGCTAATAATTTTAATATAAATGATTGTGTTGGTATTGCAATTCATACGGTTTATAGAACAAATACCGATCCAAAATATTTACGATGTTTAATTATTGAAAAAAACGAAAAAAATAATATTTCTTTATATAAATTAATTTGTCAATATGGTATTTTACAAAACACATTTGAAGCCGGACAATTTATGAATTTAAAAGATGCTTGTCCCAATGAATTGAAACAAATTTATGTTAGTACTTTAAAGCCAATCACCATCATTGAAGCTTCAAAACTTTATTCTCGTGGTTCTACAACTGGCCGAACTTGTAATTGTCAGGGCAAATGTGCAACAAAATCATGTCCATGTAAAAAAGAAAACGTTTTCTGCTCAACCCAATGTCATTCGAAGAGGGGTGGGTGTTCAAACATGCACTAAACTAATTTAGGACTCATATTGTGTGTATTAAATAAAGATTGTAAAATAAAAAAAAATTTGTTTATACTTTAAATGTTTCTTTCTTTACTACTTTCTATTCATCGGAACACTATTTTAATTTCGTCTGGACGAAATTAAAATTTTAATTTTGACTAAGAACATATCGGACGAAATTATAATTTCAATTTCGTCTGGACAAAATTAAAATTTCAATTTTGCCTGGGCAAATTTAGAATTGGCTGAATTTTAATTTCGACCACAACATATATATAGATAGATAGGTAGATATAAGTACGATAGATATACGCGACGGTGGAAGATTGAAGGTGTTAATTTTTTGCTATTGTTTTTGAATATATATATATAATATCCATATATACATCAACGTGCAATTAGGATATAACACATTGCTCAAAAACACAAAAAAGCATCAAAATAGGAGTGATTTTTATCAACAGCTTTTCCTTACGCTAATTCTTAGATTTGATTCAGAGAATGATCGATCTGGTGATGTTACTTCACTATCAATGTATTAGTGCTATCGTGTTGCGAGTTTTAGTTGCGTCACAATCATGCTGAAATTCTTTAGATAAAAAAACAACAAAATCTAAAAACCAAGCTTAATTGATTTACTACGACGACTTTTGTGACTTTCATATTCACACTGAAAATTTTATTAACTAATTTTCTGCACTCACTTCAAGCGTTCAATTAACGGAACTAGTTATATCATAAGTCAGAAATAATAAATCCCCTGCTTGTATAAGGTTTTCTTATTTCCAATTGCGTCATGATGCGAGAATGTGAGCTGATAAGTAAAGGAGAAGTAGTGATGAAAATTCTAATTGTCTAACATTTTGGTCAACTGTCTTTGAGGAAAATAAAAATATCCTCGTGCTTAGACAAATTTCCAGCATAAATGAACGCGTAAGCAACAGATTCGCATTCAAAATTTGCCGAGAAATCATCGTCCTAAACTAGTTAAAAGAGAGGTTTACTACCAAAGATGTTTTAAATAATTGCAAAAGAGTTCCATGCGGAATTTTCTCATCTAACAGAAACAAAACCTTCGTATGATTCTTAAGTAAAGGTATACCAGAAATTCTGATACGTTTTTAAAGTTCACCGTTCTCGGATGCAACCAAAGCAAAGTCTTCGAAACTTTGATAGATTATTTAACATACCTAGTGATACGTAACTAGAAAGTTTCAGATCTAGATCTTTTACTCTGGATGAGAATCTATAAAAATACTATCATGCACTATTTTTTCGAATTTTCCTATGAGTTATATTGAGTAAATTAAATAGAAGAATTGTTTGACAATGTCCAGTTTTTATCAATGCATAGTTAAAGCTCATCACATCGCAAGCTTGTGATAGTTGTAAAAAATGTATTTTATTGATGACAGATATAAAAAATTCATTCAAACTGTTGTAGTATGAGAAACAAGTAAAGAATTAGTAATTTCTGGAATTTTATTTTTCAAAATGATCAAGATCATAAATCGAGAATCTCTTCGAATGCCGTTAAACTTGTTTTTCGTAGAATCGAATTGAATCAACGAATTGTGCTGTAAATATAGCCGACGTTTGGCCTATAGAAAACTTGTGGATGCATTAAAACGAAAATAACCACCTCTGAAATAGTGTAATATGGCGAATTGAAAAATTATATTAAAATGGAATGGATCGAGTGTATTGTTGCTCTATGTCAACGAATGATTGATAACATAGCGGCACAGTTAAGATCAGTAATCGATCAAGATTATAACAAAATGCGGGACTATTGATAAATATTGTTTTGTGCTTATTTTTATTTCAAATAGTAGTATTTTCTTAATGGTAGCCAAGATAATCAGGAAAATTACAAAAATAGTGCATGGCAGTGTTGTCACAGAGTCTCATCCACACTAAAAGCCACATACCTGAAACTTTGTAGCTAGGTGGTACTAAGTATGTTCAATAGTTTTACAAAGTTTCAAAGACATTGATTTAATTGAATACGAAAATGATGAATTTTAAAAACTTATCAAAATTTCTGGGACACCCTTTATATCCCACGGTTGAAATGTTCGACCTGCATTCAAGCAGATAGTATTTATTCAATGATTCCAAAACAATGCCTTTATTAATAGAACCAACTTATTATTAAATATATTTACCTTAAAATTTTCTGCCTCACGCGAAAATGTCCCCATGTATGAGTCTCAATTTTGAATGTGATGCATACTAATTTGTAGAACTCGACGAACTGTTTCTCGTGGTATGTTCCATTCTTGCTCATAGATTTTCAAATGAGAAAGTTGATAGAGTTTATCTGCGCAGGATAACACTAGAACAATCGGAATTGATAACATAATATTCTCAGAGAAAAGCAAGTTTTAAAACTGGTTGTAGCACTTTCAGTCACGAATTCTCACATCTTACCATGAAATGCTATGACCTTTTCAGCGAAAACGTTCAACATATTCCATTTAAAAGAAAGCTGTCAACGAGAAACTAACAAATTTATAATATGAGCTGCGTGTGGCGTACCTGGTCACAGATATTCAATTATTAAGTTATGCATTATTACAGTATAGAAGCATGATAATAGATGAGCTAGTCATATCAATCATTCACTACAATTCTCAGATCTTCAGGAAGCGAGCGTCTAAAACCTAAGTGAGATTTTATTCACAACATCAAGACCTCTCTAGAGACAATTTCTTATGATGTCTGATCCTACCAAATAGGAAATATATTGACTATTTCATATACAAATCGGCCATTCATCGATACTCTTGACTTTATTTTACGTGAAATTAATAAACTATAAAAAAACAAGTAACGCGTCGGCTCCTTGAGCCTCGCTCAACGCAATCCTGAAAGTTTGTACAAATATTTTAGAACATTTAGTATTTTGTTAGTGAATTATTGAATAGATTTATTCTTAAAAAATGAAATTATTTTACTTTCAAGAAAATTGAAATTCGTCCCTGAATTCATATAGGCATTGCTAGAATACCTTGTCAAAATTCAAAGAGACATTGTATTCCTTTTGCAGTGTAAACAAAAAACATAGCTTGGAACTTCTAATGAAAAGCATAATAAGGAAGAAATTTTGTGCCCTGGAATAACTAGCCAGAAAGATCCTTAATGTGCAATACGCATGGAGTAGAGTACAGTAAAGTACGGCTAAAAAAGCACTAACGTACAAGAAGTATTCACTTTCCAGGATCACAGGGTGGGTGAGTGCCGGTGTGAATGTGAGTGTGGATGATAATCGAGCGATAGAGCAGCAAAACTCACATGGATGCCTCATACCGACACCGACACCCGACCACGCATACAACCACAGGATCAGATCCACATATACCGCACCACACGCACGCATCTCAAAAGCACGTGATTGGCTTAATTTCGGAGTGATGAAATGCTATTAGTCGAACTCTCAGCATCAAACCCACCTGACTGACTTGTTTTCGGGGTGATGAAGTCCTATCAAATATTATATCGTAGGACTGGCACTACGTTTTTTGAGATTCTTTATTACTCAATTCCTCTTGGTTTTCCTTCGAATCAATAAAACAACGGGCAAACCGACGAATTTTTGCTGCGAAGATTCAATCTTTTAGAATTGAGAAAAATGGCAAACATTCGCAGTCTACCCATATAATCTCTTTAATGAGAGCCACATACAAGATAAGCCCAGATACCGTGATTAATGCCTTCTGCCTCAAAAATTGATCTCTGTCTAGGAACATTCGAATTGCATTACACCTTCAGGATATATAGGCGCTGTTGAACCGTGACTATGGTAAAATTTTCAGCTCTGTATCATGAAATTTGACAAAGATGTTCATTAAGCAGTTGCCACAAATACCTCTATCATAGCGCCAGTAGAATTCTAGAATAGTAAAACATAAATTCAAATATCTTTTTTATTTGAAAGAGCATGACAAAATGCAGCCCTTCTTGTGACCTTTTTTTTTTTAAAATTCTTACTTTTAAACTAAAAAAAGGGGTGACAAGTTCAATGATTCAAAAAAAACTCCTAAACAAACAGTGCTATTTTTCTCGAAGTGTTTTTCTATATTCCCTCGACTGTAGGGAGGGTCATATGAAATAAAATGCGCTTGTCTGTCTGTCTGTTTGTGGCAGGTCAAAAAAACATTTTTTTTCGACAATTTTTTTAATGCAGAAACAGACTTTTTCTGAAACACCTGAAATTTTTTTGAAAAAATTTTTTTTAATGTAGAAACAGACTTTTGAGAAAACTGCACTAATATTTTCTTAATGAGGTATTTTGATAAGACCCTGATTTTTCAGCTGCAGAATGAAATTGAAGAAATCAGAAATAGCTCACAACGAAGCTTTGATTTAGAAATCCCCGTCGAGAATTCTCATGCTATAGATCTAATGGTCTTTCGAAGTAAGCCGAGTTTGGGATTAGATGAAGTGTAAATAAAAAAGGATAGTGCTGTGGAGAAATAGGACGAAACATAGCATGGGCTAGTCGTGAGTAGCGCCCCGGAGGGCCGCCGACGAACGAATAGCCGCTGCACTAGAATGTCCCTTAAAGAAATGCATCAAGCTGTTGCCCAGTCAGACAAAAATTTTGAAAAACGCGTTTATTGGCGTTTTTGGTAACTTTCTGGGCGTCAAAACGGCGAAAATTCCAGGTTTTGGCCGTTAAAACGCACTATTTTTCTAGAACTTAAAAACAATACGTTTTAACGCTCAAAAACTGGAATTTTCGCCGTTTTGACGCCCAGAAAGTTAGAAAAAACGCCAATAAACGTGTTCTCATGCGCTTTTCTAATGAACCTTAATGGCTCACAATCGCAGTTCCCGATTGTGTGTTTAAACGCGTTTTTCAAAATTTTTGTCTGACCGAGGGGTGTTCATCAAATAGACATCAAGAGCCTAGGTCAAACGGGGTTGAATAAGGAGTAGTAGCTGCTAAGAACTCAGAAATATTTTGAAATCAAGTGTGAGAACGGCTTTTCTGCACGTGTGGGATATTTCAATAGTACATTTGAGGGAAAACATTATTTATAGAATTTATATTCGTTCTATCGGAATGCTATTTGAATGAAATAAATGGGGGTCTCCTTGGTGGGATGCTTTCTTGTCGATACTGATTCAAATGTCGAAATGTATATGGATATATTGAAATTACCTATCCAGTCTGATGGCTAATATGAGTAGGAGCTTCTTTCAAGTGTGGCAGTCCAATTATAGGCCAGACCTAATATGATTAATTGTAATCTAGAAGTTCAAGTAAGCCCTATTTTGCTAGCGGACGCTCTAGTAAATAATATTGTCGGCAGATTTGTCAGCAAGCGAACGGACTTTAAGTAGAAATTTTAAGGAGTATGGCGCGTTTTCACGAAAGTGTCGAGAATGAGCTTTGCTTCATTACCTCTCATAAAGCAGAATATAAACTACTTTTTTTGGTACATATGGATATCGTCGTCATAGTGTGGTTCCTTAGATTTATTGTTGAGTGTCAATGTGATGGTATCAATTTCAATGGATGCATTTGTGACAAAAATGTTGATCCGGGCCCGCATACAGTTATGCACAGTGAGATTAACGTCAATGTCAGCAAACACATACCTATGCACCCTTTTGAAACATCGGATACTAGCTGTGTTAAAGACTGTAAATCGGAAGAAAAAATCGAACGAGCCGAATATGCAGTCGAGGGCCAAGCGAGCCACATGGACGAGCGTTACTTGTTCGAAAATGAAAAAGCCTTTTTAAAAACAGGACCGCGAAGAGGCCAGCATTAGGAAAAAGCTTTCAAACAAAAAAACTTTCGACTTTATCATTTACTATGATAGAATTCTGCTGGTGCTACGCTGTTGAATCCACGTTTCAAGAAAAACGATAAATGATTTTTTTTCTTTTTTCAAAAACAGCTTTCAAATAGAGGGCCATGAAAATCCTACAAATTTTTTGGAAAAATAGAGGACCCAAATTAAAACTGTTGTAGAATTTGAAAGAGCAAATTATGAGCTACCTTCCAATGAATTTCTCTCATTTTTGACGATTCTGACGAAAAGCGACCTTTTTGAGGGGGATGGGGCTTAAACAATGAGAACAAATACTAAACAAATGAATGTCTAGCATCCATTGCCTAAATTCTTATTCATATATCTTCACTCTGACATTCCTACCCATAAACTCCCATACCAGTACGCATGCATCTATACTCTTTCCATTTACATTCATGCACATACTCTAGCGGTGATATCAAGGTGCCTATTCCCTTACACTTGCATATCTGCCGGGTGAGCTAAAATTTTGGCAATTAGGGATGTGACCATGTCCAGATAAAGATATGCAAACCAACGCCCACAACCCACACTCCACACTCCACAGTCACGTCCACATCCATCTTCACACCTACGAACAGCGGCCCGCATACAATCACATCCATCCACACCCACATCTACATTCCCACCGACACTCACCCATCCACATCACCATCAATATATCTACACAAACAGCTATAGCCAAAGCCACAAACACATCCACATCAACATCTATACATTACCACGAACAGCTACCGCTACATCCACAACCACATCCATAACCACACCCACCCTCACACATCCACATCAATATCCACCCATCTACACGAACAGCTATAGTCAAAGCCACAACCACATCCACATCACCACACCCATTCACACCCACACTCACACCCTTATAATGTACTAGCATAATATATCTACTCTGTTACTTGAGAAAAGAAATACGGAGTCAAAGACTTGAATGAAGTTTTAATTCACTCAGTGTTTAGATTCTCTCAATGATGAGCACACACTAAAATAAAATGTGTCGTAT